GATATGTAGTTTATACATTTACCTTTGACACTACGTACATTTATTCAGAAACATTTTTGATATTACAATCAAGAGACAAAACATGTAATGATGACATAAAAGCAAAGGTGAAAACTGAACCAGCCTTATCACATATCAAGAGACAAGTCAAGTGGTTTTGACACTTAATTAGGCAACATCAACATTTTTTGCCACAAAGAGCATTTAATACAAAGACAAACATATTGAAAGCAAAAGGAAAAGCAAACAGACAGTGGATTGAAGGTGTCCTTAGCACCCTCAGAAACATGATGATATAGGAGGCAAACAGGTGAGCAAGAAACCATTCCCTTTGTCTTCCCTCAATGCTGCAAGGCTTGAGAAAAAGAAAGCAAAATTAATTAATGAATGCACATTTACTTCTAGCAATATTTACATTCACTTTTAACTTTGGGTGTTTATGTATATATATACATATACTGCCATATTATTCATTTGCTATGTGTCTAGTATGTTGAGTATCTTAGTGTTTTTTCTTAGTAATATGTATATATATTTTGATCCAGTGGTTAATTTTTCCATTTTTGACTTAGGTTGTGTAAATACATACATACTGATTTTTTTCATTCTTATTTGTTGTTTTTCACACAGCTTATCTTTTTCTGTAATAACTACCTTTTTTATATACACATACTTCTTTCTTTTAACCTAGATTTCATTTACATATTAGTTTGTTTAATTCAACCATGCTTTTTTCTATATAGTGTCTGTTTAGGAAACACTGTTCTGCTTTATTTAAATTTTTTTCTTCATATGCCAACTGGTTTCTATATGGTTTGATTCATTTAGAATTTTGAACAAAGATAATCAAGGGCTACCTATCTCTAATTCAGCAGTCATAGATTACAGGAAAGGCAACAAATCAATACTACCTACCACCAACTCTTGAGCTACTTACTCTTTTACCAACAAATAGTAGGATTGACTGTCACATTATAGCACTCCCACAGCTGAAAGGGTGAGGACGTTTATTGATGAGGATTAAAACCCACTATCTGCAAATTGTGAGTCAAACACCCTAACCACTAGGCTGATTTCCATATGTTGCAAGTTTCCCCTCAATTTATATATTTCCAAGGTATACTTTTTAGTTTTCTATTATCATTATTTTACTCATTTCATATTTTTTTCAACACAATTACTTTACGTGTCTTACATGTATATATTTGTATTGTACTAAGTTTTAAAAATTGCATTGTCTCATATTTAAAGGGTTTCCTTTGAAATCATTTAAAGTAGAGTTTATATGTATAATCTTATTCAAAGGATGTATTTTGTGATATATTTGAAAGGTTATATATTGTTGCATGTTAGTTAGCTGTTTCAGTGACAGCTAAGACTGTTTGTTATTCCTGTGATTCTTGTATTTTCACAGCCCATTTGATATGTTACTAATACTATGTTATGTATACCATGCCATATTGTAACTAGTCTGGCCAAAGGCTATAATTTTTATGTGACTTCACTAGGTCACATTGGTATTCAATACGAAGGAGGAAGATGTTATATGTAGATAATGTATATTTCTGTAGAATATTTCACAATATCATTTTTTTAACTTTTTGCTTAAGTTCTTCTTCAAAACATCATAAATACAGTTGGGGTGTGTGTGTGCTAATTCAACCCTAAGTTACTTCCTGTTGCATGATTTTGACAAGGAGGCTATCTACTGGTTCACGGGATAATAGATAGTATCCCACATCATCTTGTGTATGTGGGACTGTTTTACAAATGTCATACAGAGAGCAGATATCCCTTAAGATATTAGTAATTCAATTTAATAATTAGTTTTCTACAAAATATGTGAGCTGTGACAGCAGTTTATACATTTTCAGACACATTTCTTTCTATCACTAAGTAATCACGTGAACATGGGAATTTCAGTTATCTTATAATTTTGTCCATTTTCTTTTAGTTAGCCAATCAAACAACTTCAGTTTACTTTGAAGTAATATTTATTTTCACTTTCCTTTGCAAAATACATATGCTTTTATTTAAGTTTAATTTCAATATAATTTAAGTCATTTTTCAAAAGTTTATTTCGAACAGTTTACTTTGTTCATTCTCATCACAATGCAATAGCCCTTTCCACCAGAAGTTCATTTTCTATTTCATTCCCCTGTGTTCTATGTGAATTAAAAAGCTTACTTTTGTTTAACCTCACAACATGTTTTGTCTCTTACATTTAACTGGAAATCACTATACCAGTCCTTTCAAATAACTGATTTCTGAACTTACTATTGTAAAGATCTGTAAAAACATATCTTCCAGGCCTACTGGTTTAACAACTGTCAATATTTCTTACAACCACTGGTAATAATATTAATTTTAATCAATATTCTCTTTGCAATTTCTTAAGATTAATTGTCATAATAAAATGAATAACAAGTGCTGTGACATTAAGAATTACTTAATTAAAAATGTCTGTGTAATTTGAAACATAATGGAAGTATTCTAAAGATATTCTCTACTGTTGTGGCACCATTTTGAAGTGCACTAAATGTGTAATCAAAGGCTTCTCAGGATGAGCAGAGTGAACACCTGAGTGAATGAAGATTTTAAAAACATTGTTTCCTTTCTTCTACTTCCATTTATAAAAAGAAGTAATACTTAAAAACAGTTTACAAGCCTAAATATAACTTGAACAAGAAAAGCATCAGAGGTCATATTTCGAATTTATTAGTCCTTTTGTTGTTGTTAATCAAAATGAGAAAACTGGTTCTGAATTTTTGGTGAGTGATGTAGAAGGTACTGACATAACCACTAGTGATAAACACTAATGCTAGAATGGTTAGACAGATGACAGAAACAGAAGCACACTATGACTAACACAATTCAAGATACTCCACTCTTATTTTGAGAAGTTCAATTCAGATTTTGTAATATAGAAACTATCTATATTGATGTGTTCTACTGCCATAAATAATTAAGAAAACATAAAAATGTTTTGTAACCAGAAAGCATTCTGAGACAGGCAGTATGGAAAATAATATATGTAGTATATAATTTGCAGAAATGCATATGGAAAGGGCAAATTAAATGGCAAATTCTGTGTATTTTTTATACAACTGTATAAAACATTTTTTGTATGTATCTTAACTATTTGCTATCTAATAACTAGTTTATGTTACATACAAATACAAAACTTCTAATAAATTCATCTGTCAACAATCAAAATGCTTCCACTGCTCTACATGCTGAAATTGAATAATGTATTTCTAACCATAAAAAAAAAAAAAAAAAAAGAACTTAGTTCATACTTTAAATAAAATCCTCTCTGTACCAGGACTGGATGAAATACAACCCCAATACTCACTACAGATGACTATTTTAGGAATTTCTTAAGGTTTAATACACCAGGTAAGTGTTGTTGAATCCTGTCACAAGTTAATGAAATTATCTCATGAACTGTAAAGCCCTATTTGACATGTAGTGTTCTTTTGAAAAAATTTTACATTTTTGTGAAATCTACTAAGAAAATACTGACTACATGGATAAGGTCAATGGTTCAGGGTTAAGGTGTGATGTGAAACTTACCCTTGGCATTACTATATGGTTTAAATTTTTACAGCATGTTGCTGACCCCAAGTAGTTAAACTCGGATTTTGACTCAAGGTATCAACTATAAAAGGCAATCAATATTGAAAGATATTTGGAAATACTGCTGCTGATATAACTAAGGTTAACATTTTGTCTTTTTCATTCCTTAACAAGTTTTGGAATAAACCCTCACTGTTACAATGTAGAAACTACATTAAAGAACAGAACAAAAACTAAAAAAACAGTTGAATATGTTCAAAAATGAGAAAAATAATTCTTGATATCAACAATATGACAATTTCATTTCCAATATGAATCATGTAATGAAGAACATTTTTCCTGTGGCCCTATGATCGAGGAAATTTCCAGAATACCTTTGGATTAATCAGCTGGATATAAAGATGGAGTAAAGCTATTGTTTTTTTTTTTTATTTTTAAGAAAATAAAACATATACAAAAATATTTTAATGCATATTTACAATATGAATTATTCAAAAGTATGAACATATTTATTCATTTTATTATAGTTAAAAAAAAACATACCAAGTTCACCATACTATTTCCCACAAGCTCTATGTTACATTTTTCTCACAGTGATTGGAAATGTTAACTTAATATATTCAAAGAACGAATTGTCTATCTCTTTTTCTTCCATAATATTCGCATTATCCTTCTGAAATTTATTTTAAAATTATGTATATAAATCAAAGAAGCCAAAAAATACAGAAATCAGGAATATATCCATGATATTAAGTTCATCAATTATAATTTTTAATTTCAATGTTATTGTTAATGTTTTATTAATCTAACCAATTTCAAATCAATATATTAAATTTGTAATAAAAAATAAAACCACAACCAATGTGTGTAAAAATGCAAACGTGAGACTTCCAATATAATTCAAATTTTAGTGGTCATTCTAACTTTTAAGAAAACATAAAGGATTTTAAGTTTAAAACTACCTCAAAATACAAAAAAACAATCAAATAAGTTACACATCATATTACAACACTGTACAAGTTGATTTTAAAAGAATTACAATTTATAATGCATTATTTACATTGCAATGTGTCTCTTTCCTGTGTCGAATATAACATTTTACTGCTGTTATACAGCGTCAAGGTAAAACACGCCGATTTCGTCCTCACTACTACTACCAACCTAACCATCAATATTATCATTCCCCTCAATAACCAGTTTCATCACTGTTATTAAGTACAACCTCTGCTTATGTATAGGGTTAGACAATCTTGACAAAAAGTTGACTAGATTCTGACTCCTTTCCTAACAAATGAACCTCATTTTTCATGTGAAAATATACCTATTTGGAAAATAGTATTTCACTCTTTGAAAATAAACTGATTATGAATGCTGTTGCGTGCAAGACAACGCTCTATTAAATTATTTGAGTGGCAGCTTACCTAAGTGTCAGTCTTCGTCAATAATGGCGGCGTCAATTATCTCAGACTACAACCCACCTTAGATTGACGGTGATTACGTCATAAAGATAACCTCCTGGATCCAATCACAGATATATTGGTTTCCTTCTCCAACACATAAAGTAAAACATATGTATCTCAAAAAAATTAACGTTGTGTTACAAACATATTACTATAAGTTATGATAAAACTTGTTCATAAAAAGTAATCGCAAGACTTGGTAATCTTAAGCTTGTTGCAAAGGTACTTTAAATATTTAAAATCCCTTACGGAGCTCTTGAACATACTTGGGTTGTCCTCCAGCTCCAACGCTTTTGCTGACACGCGACAGTGAATATTGAGTGGTCCACAGTGTGCGACATATGCTCCTCCCAGTGCCTTTGCTTATTAATTGCTGGAATCAGTCACGGCGCTGAGCGCTTAAATTTTTCATCATTTTGTGGTATTTCACAGCACAGCGGTTTTCCCCCACGAAATCTTATATTTTGCGATTCATTAGCTAGTTTGTACAGCTAAAAACACATATAAATAGGTATCAGAGATAAGCTTCTATATATAAAAATATGTATCCCAATTTAAATATGTAGGTTATGTTTGTAAAGCGCTTATGCATAAGTCACAAACATTCACTTTATTATTGATGTAAGAATAACAGATCACTACTTTTGAATGAAGAGCTCGCTGATAGGTATTAGTACATAACTAGCACACACAAAAAAAGAGGTTAATTATTGCTAAATTAAAGATAATTAATCAGATGAAGCTTGGACAAAACCAAAAACTACTTTTTATTTATCTATTTTGAAAATTTGGAAAAGTTAATGATTGGTAGTTTGGATGTTTATTAATTCTTTGTGAACTTGCTGTAGATACAACTTCCCGTTTAATCAGTTTTCTTCAAAAGAATCTAAAAAATGGATCAAAATAAGCTCAGCCTCAAGTTTGACACTCCACAAAAATAGACAAATTTAAATAACAGATGGAGCTGCAATAGAAATAGTTTTAAATTTATATATGCTTCAATTATTTTAGTGTAAAGGTTCACAAAGAGGGGTCGAAACCTGAATTTTAACGTTATAAACACTCAAGCGTACCGTTGAGCTACAGAGCGGCTTATATTATTTCAAGTCTGTTTGATATAAAACTTATATAAATATCCACACGACTTCTCTTAATCAATATTTACAATAAATGGCAACGTAATTAATAAGAACCTAAGTTTTTATATGTATTGTTACGTCTCCGTTTGTCAATTGATTTTCCGTAACTTCGTTCCGACGAAACTTAAGCGACACAAGTTCTTTCTTAATAAAAACTGGTTTATTCTTTCCGAATACAACTTTACCGATACACTCAACTTCAACAATCGAGCTAAACAAACGCTATAACGACGAACGTGCTCAATAATACTTCTGACTGCAGATCAATTACTCACTGTCTATACACACATTACATTCTTCTCGCGTCACGTTGTCCCCTCTTATATATACCCGCCTACCCTATCTAGTAAATACTAGAGCATTCATGAAAAAACAAGATAGTTCTAGAAAATAGAGGGCGGCACACCAGTCACGTGACCTCGATGACGCAACAATATGAACCAGGAATGCATGCAGTTGGTTGGAATAAGTGTTAAATTATTATACAGATACATAAATAATGTGTTGAGAACTAGAGGATTGTGAATTAGAGTCAGTTTATGAGGCCAAAAGTTGTGGAATGTAAAGGAAATTTTATAA